CAACTGCTTGAAGTCGGTCACACACGACCTTTTTGTGAGTAGTTTTCGTGTTATCCCAGTACTCGTTGAGACCTTACCGTTGGAGACGGATATCCGTGGGATAAGGTGAGGTGTGCATTTTTAGGGTCGACCATTTCTAACCCCACCCCCTTGTGGGAAGGCACCATCGCTGTTATGCTGGTTGTCTGAAGGAAACACCTTACTGATGTCACACCTCTGTACAGTCAGTACGACTTCGCCCTCAGACCTTGGGTTTGCTGCTTCTAGTCTTACCGCTCTTCAATCGACCTGTCTGGCATGATAGGACCTTGAGGAAAGATCGAACTGTAGCTCGATTGGTTCATCTCGACAGTCCAGCCCGACCACCACGTCAAGGTCGCAACAACGGTCGGGAATGACGAGGATAACATTTAACGGTTATTCATGTCATTCATTACCAAAAAATTGACCGTATGAGATAGTTTTAGCATTCAGGGTTTGGAACAAAGTAATGATCTTTATGATCTAATCAAGGTAAATTTGATCGAGTCTATAAAGAAGAAAAAAAGCAACAGCAACAATCAGACAACCTTGATATTCGGTATTTGCTGTTATGTAATTTCAATTAAAATAGAATTTATTTGAACTAAAATCTGGACACTGATCTTAATGTTGTTTCTTTTTTGGATAGATTAAGTAACATAATCGACGGTTTAAGCAAACACACAATATAAGACAGAATGATAGATACTATAATTCTTTGTCTCTATCCAGACACTTATAAATGTACATAGGTGTACAGAAAAAACTTGGCCAATATGTGAAAATGCTCAGTTATTGTGCGGTCATATAAGTTTGCGCATGAAAAGTTTTCCTACCGAATACAAAGGTTTATTTTACCATTTTTAGACAATAACCGTAATAAAATCACTACAAATGAAGCTTCTTTTTAAATTATTGAATAGCTGACTAAATATATGATTACTATTTACGCCTTTTACTGGTCATGTAGGATCATAAACCACTCACTATGATTCTTCATTCAACTCTGTCCTGAGCAATCCTTCCCAGTTGTTTCCAGTTACTATTCATCCTTTATATGTCTGCTTCTAATTCTCGACGAAGTGTGTTCGTTGATTTTTCTGTTTCCATTCAGGATTCCAAGTTATCGCTTGCTTCGTGATACAGTTCAATTATTCCCTCAGAGTATGTCCTATCCACTTCCATCGTCTTTTCCTAATTTCCTCTTCAGCTTGAAGCTGGTACATGTGACAATGACCCTGTTATTTTTAACGTAAGTTGAAGTTGCTGTTTCGTCTACTCACTGTGACGAAAGGATTTCGTCCGTTTTAGCTAGTTATCGCTTACATCTGATATGTTAGGGAAAAGCAAACATACCGTCAAGTTTCGACGGAAAACAAGGTTAATTAATCAATACAAGTTTCAATAACTAATTATAAACTGATTCGAAAATTAAGCTACTTATCAGTAGTATCGTACTTTCTTTGACATTTTCTAAGTCACTTATTTGTTTATTGAACACATTGGTACAAGAGGATATCAAATACATATGCTCCAAGCAATAACAGTGAGGTTGCAAAGAGATAGAGAATATGAAAAGCGTATAATAAAAAGAACAACAACGAATAGAAATTAGTTTATGATAGTGAAGTGATAATAATAATAATAATAATAATAATAATAATAATAATAATAATAATAATAATAATAATAATAATAATAATAATAATAATAATGGGAGAAACAGTTCAGTTAGTTATGAAGGAAGTTACTGAAGGATTGCCACTGGTTTCTGTTCCAAACCATGTCTCATAACGTCCCTGGTCACTGTGTTACACCATCTATAGGACCCCTACCACTGAGACGTAAAGAACCAACAGAAGCCAGTCCTGGACAGCTTTCGTCCATGCCACTACACCATGTCATACACTGACCACCTCTCCGCTTTTTCCAACCAGTTCCAGAGTCAGCAAACAATGCATGACATGGAATTCTCTGAGATGAAATTCGTAATACTTGTCCAAGCTGCTGAAGTCAATGTCTCAAGATAGTGACACCAATTGAATTGTCGTCGCTGTGCCCGAACACACGATGCTGAACCTCTGTATCATTAATATAGTGTTGCCACTGGATGTTAGAAATCCTTTGGAGACAATGATGATCAAACACAGGATCGCCTAGCATCCTCAACACTGATAGGACGGGTTTCACAAGCACAGTGTTGTAGATCTCGCCTTTCACAGCCAGACTAACATCATGAGGACACCAAAGATTGTCTAGATTGGTATAAGCTGCTCTTGATTTCACTATACGTAAGTCGATCTCATCACTCACGCCACCACCAGCACTTATGCATTTACCCAGATACACGAACTTCTCAACTACTTCTATCTGCTCACCATCCAGAGTGAGTGCAGGCTCAGTGGGCTGCCAGTCTTGTAAAAGTACTTTGCACTTGGAAGGTGCAAAGCACATACGATACCTTCGGACACTAATTATCAACTGATTAAGTGCGGGTTTCATGTTTTGGGCATCATCGCACTATAAGACAATATCATCCCCACAATCACGGTCGTAGTCTTTCTCCAGGCAAGAGATTCACACCGCCATTACTTACATCAGAGCTGTTTCCGGAATGTCATCGACGGCAAAGTTGAAGAGGATTGATGAGGTTGCGCAACCCTGTCTAACCCCACTGCTTGAATGAAACAATGAAGAGAGGTGGTCTTATACCTTCACTCTGCCTGAAACGTTTGTATATAAAGCTTTTAGGATGTTAATAAACTTCTCAAACACACTCTCCTTCAACAGACAACTCCAGAGAACAGTCGTGTCCAACGAATCGAAGGCGGCCGCAATGTTAAGAAACACTACGATTGTTGGCCTATGGTAAATATGACGGTGTTCTAACATTTGGTGGAAGGTGAAGATATGATCAATACATCCTCGACTAGAAAGAAAACCAGCACGTCAATCTTTCTCGAGCTTTGAACAATCCACGATGAATGATGGAAACTGATAGTTTGGATCCAATTGGAAGCAAACTTATCTCCGATAGTTGTTGCAGAAACGACTATCAACTCATTCCATGATGTTGGGACACTCTCTAATTGCCAGACCTTTGCAAACAACTCAGTCAGTTCCGTCACCAGGAAGTCAGCACCATTATTTCAAAGTACTCCAGGGTAAAATTTAGGACGTATTTGACAACACCACTGAAAATGTAAAATAACGACCAAGTCTAGATGTTCACATATATGTACAGACAGAAACAGCGAACAGGATGACTAGGATTTCTACTTAATGTAAAGACATTCCTATTTGAAACGACAAATTTGTCCGCACTGAGTTATATTAAAGAAAATATTCCTGACTGGGTAATCTACTATATTTGATCAGATGGAGGTAAACTGTAATCTGGGAGATCACTTGGAAATATGTTTAAGAGATGATGAGATTCCCAAAAATTTAGAAAAGCACGTTTTATTATTCTTGGGGAACGGCATTTAAAAACAAATTTAATCTGCTGTTTAAACAACTGAATTAGCTCCACTTCTTGATACTACGTGAATAACTACCATATTGTGATCGGCTAAGGAACACATTCGCCACGCATCGGTGTTCAAGAACAAATGTCCCAATTTCTTAAGTTTCACAGAGTTCGAGCTACGCCTCAATTAGTTGATGACTTCATTTTGTACAACAGTGAGACAAGAAATCATAGTATTCAGACGGAATGAATACGATTTGAAACTGACAACATCCTGAATGGACACTTTAAACATGCAACAATGACTGGATGCTACATAATATTGAGAGGTTTTACTACCTTAAGAAGTTTACAAGTAAAATGTTTGCTTCTTTGAAGTCAAGGAGTTTTATGTGTAAACTTCAATAAGTCGAAATCCAGATCTCAGCTAATAGACACAAATCCAGTCAGTGCTACAAGAAAGCTCATACCTAATTACAACACAGTACAGACAAACTACATACGACTAGATACGTTTTATTGTAGAAGTGACATTCTCAACATTGATGTGAATTTGACTGATCCATGATGTATAAGTTAATACTTGGAAAATAAAAGGAATTTTGTTTGTACACGTCAACTTATTTAGTACATATCTGTGCATAATGCATCTAGAAATGAATTTAGGATTACAAATGAAATACTGTTACCAGATAACTTATTATCTAGAAAATTAATCATAATTAATCTCCTGGTACGACCGACCATGGGAGAATCAGCTCTCTCTCGAGATGCTCTCACATGGCCACGTTTATACAACCACTGACAGGGAAGTCTTACTGCTTCCTCTCAGTGAGGACGTTGTTTACGAAATTGAGAGGACGAAGAGTGAATGTCCAGCACTTTAACCAGGTTTGTGGACACGCAATCCACCTAGGGGAGTTGGAACACCCTGATTCCAAACCCATGGTGCACATGGGGTCCAGTATCCTGAAGGAAGAAACGGCGTACGAACTTATTGTTGGTCATCGGTTACCATATGATTGCATCTCCTTACGCTGCTCCACTGCCTTGTGGATTAGACCTTTAGGTCGAAGGCTCGGGGTGTGACCCCTTGAGAAAATCACCTGCTCCGGTTTGGGCACCTGGACAGTATCCTATCACTCACACAAACAGGATGATTTATGTGGCGCATATCTATTTGGTGCCTCCTTGTACCAATGTTTATGTGTTTAAATGAATAAATAATAATGACGGAATATTTATTATTGATGATATATTATTTGTTATATGTACAATCGTATCCGAGACAATATATTTACACAAACAACAAAGACATGTAAGTGAACGTAAGAAAAACGCGTCAAACAATATCTTTACGACTTTAAAAAAGTAACAATGTACGAGTGGCATATTGTATGTATATATTAAAAATGAAAAAGGTTTTAGATTGACGGTGAGATCAATCATTTGATTGGTTGACTGAATATAGAATCGTAGAGATATTCATTGCAAACATTTACGTGTGAACTCAATCGTTGTATGCAAAGTTGAAACTGAAATAAAATCGAGAAGCCAAAGAATAAGCCAACAATAACGATAATACAGAGGAACATATAGATATAACTAATCAATATACGTTTGATTGAATTTGGTATATGTCATACTTTTTACTGACTACGAGTTGAATGATACACACGCTTATGGTGAACTATCACTGGAGCTGATAACCTCAAGTGGTATTCGTTAGGTTTGTCCGATTTACTGATTTTTATTTAACATTGTCATAGACATTCTTTTAGAGATAACATTCGCATCATCTGACTTGTCAGGTATCGATCTTCTACCAGAAGTTTGTGTAAACTTGGGATACGCAGACAACATAACTGTGTTCGGAAGAGACTCCAAAAATATACAGTTTTTCGAATAGCTATAGCAACAATGCACTTTTTGCCCGCTAAATGCGAAATGTTGCTTCAAGACTAGTTTATAACAACGCCTGGACTCAGGATAGGAATTGAAGCAGTTAAGCGTTTTACCTATCTTGAAAACCCTGATATGTCAATGTCGGACGGAATCTCGACACGAATTCAAAAAGCTCAGTTGGTTCTCACCAACCCAGATCACTTGTGGGGCAGGTAAGATATCCATTTGACACTTAAGGAACGAGAGTACTGTACAGCAGTTCACTCTGTTTTATGGTTGTGGAACGATGCCTTTAAATAGAGAGGATATTCATAGAATATCAGCATTTGATCTTTGGTGTATATATCTTGGGACCACTGAGTTAGCGATTCTGAGGTTAGATTCAGAGTTCTAAGTGATTACAGCAAATTGATTGACTAGGTGGTGAATCTTCATCGACTGAGATGTTTGAGACATGACATGTTCTACGTATGCTGACCCATCGCAACTTTGACACGGCCCAAAACCCTCCACAAAGCCCCTAACCACTAGTTACGACAATCATGAGAACCCTAACCAGATAGTCTGCATCTACCTACATGAGTCATTCCAACTCTCAGTGTCATCATGAACTGGTGCTATGTCATAGTTCGCCCACACCTAGGTTTCTTTCAACTTGCTTCTACACTAGCCATCATCCCTCGTCATGGTAGTCGATGTGTGAACAAACGTAGAACGTGTCATGTCCTAAAATCTCAGTCGATAAATATTCACCACCTAGTCAATCGATTTGCTGTAATCACTTAGAACTGTGAACCGCTAACTCAGTGGTCCCAAGATATACGAGCAATGGTTCGTAGACACCAAATATCAAATGCTGGTAGTCTATGAATATTTTCTATATTTAAAGGCCATGTTTCACAACCGTAAAACAGAGTGAACTGCTGAGCAGTAAACTAAGCCTTTGGTTGAGAGATGGATATCTCGCGTATAAAAAGGAACTTTACATGCATAACTTACCGACTTAATACTTGAGGTAAGGAAGAAATAATTGGACCATAGGCTCGGGCATTGTCAAAAAGTTCGAATAACGGAGCTGCTACTAATTTATAATTTGATGGTACAGCAAACAATGTTTTCTCAGGAAGTTGAATTAGAAATAAACGTGTTTGTTCTTTAGGTTTAGTTACATGAGCAGGAATATATGGATAGCGAGGTGGTTCAAAATTCGGTCGCCACCAATTACCGATACAGTCTTCTGGAATCCAGTCAACTGGGATACCATCCGTCCGGCCCAACATCTAAATGGAAAAGGTATATATATAATATTTCATTCATAGAAAAATCCATTATGATAGTAGAATAAACCTATATCGTTTGATTTCCTTAGTCAAATTTGGCCAAACTGTTAAATACGTTTAAAAAGCAGTGAAAAGAACCACATGGGGACACAGGAGTAATGTTATACAAAGTATTAAGCCTAGCTCGTTTTATAAACGCCAGGTACTTGGATATGAGCCACACTCTAAGTACGAGGGTTAGTGATACTATCCGGTTAGGGTAGTTGGGGCGGGGTCCGGACTTGAGTTTTGGTGGTCGAAATTTAGGCGCCTTGACTAACGAACTGCCTCTCTAAACAAAAGTAGGGAGCCATATCTACCAGATCCAAACAAAATATTACACATGACTGGGAGATAATTTATCTGGAATGTTATGGATAAGAATTATTGTTGATGTGGATCGACGGTTAACAATTGACGGAAAGCAGTAACTACGAGTTCAAGGAAATTTGTTCAATCTGAGAAGCCTAATTCGATAGAGATTCATTTGACAATGAGTCAGAAGTAGGAAAAAGGATAGTCGAATTGTATACATGACATGTGCATTTGCTTTGTTAATTTTTTTACTGGTTTGATATATTTTCAACATACCTCAGATAATAATCGCTTCAGTCCTTCGATTTCTTCTTCACCTGGATGCAGTTCACCTCCAGGGAGTTTGAAAAACGTACCGAGTTGAAGTAATAGGACATGAGGTAGGTTGTGTTCATGTACAAGTAAGATTCCTTCAACCGACCGACGCATACCATACTTCTCAAAATCCTCTTGTAACCGTTGAAATCGAGCAGGAACACTACGATCTCGTTCATAATTGGGTTCTTTGGTGCCAAAACTGTAACTTTTCAAAGGATATCTAAATATGAATTGGAAATAGGGACAAATTTTATGTACACTATGCATTGTTGTATCGCATTAAGCAGGGTTCAAAACCGACTTCATGCAAAATTTATGGAACATCAAATATTCGGAACGAACAAACAGTCAGCCCTTACATTACTATAGACAACAAGATTAGTTAACTATCTAGGTGACTTCACACTTGAATACAATTCTTAGTAAAAACACTTGCCATATTAAATAGCGATAGAATACATCTGTAAACAAATCCACCATAGGAAAAGGAAAATCCTCTACTACTCAAACATATTCGTTAAAATGTTATACCCTAGTGCTAAAACCTCAGAGTGCAAGGATATGAAGCAAGTAAATTCTGAAGTACAAGTGAATGAATTTTTTTCTTGTAAGCTGTCACACTGAGCATTAGGAAGTGAGATAAAATCCGTGGGAAAAGTCTGGGTACATCATGAACGTGGATAACTTGTTATTTTTTCCAGCCAATAGTTTTTTTCTTCTTGAAGAACTTTACAAATACAAACTAAAACTATAAACCTGTTGTAAACGATGGATATAACGGGAGGTACTGTATCATCTAAAAATTATTAAAAGGAAAAGATGAACGGTATAACTATATTATCATACGTTTGATATTCATGACACCAACTCGATTAAAACGTTTATAAGCTATTATGGTCCAGAGATTCCTGTTATTTAGATTGCTTAGACAGAGAACATATTTACTGTCTCATGACATCTGAATATAAGCAAAACATATGTATCAATTCACAAATGCGAAGGGACCGAATAAGAAAATCTACTAATCAGGTGGGCACACATTTAGAACGACGCTAGAAAGACTATAGAGGGTTTTTTTCTAATAAACTTTATACTCGCACAAAAAATCGATGAGAGTCTGTAAAGATCCGGAGATCTGTGAAGGATTACCAATTCTATGTAAAACGCAGCTAAAAGCTCAGTATACAACATTGTATTCATGATATTGAATTCAACTAAACCTCACTCATGATGTCAACAAACTAACACAGCTCCCATGGCAGAACGTTATTATTTGTAGGATTCAGTTGCACAACTAGAAGAATAAGGTAGACGTCTTTAATCTCATCCTAACACTAATCATAAGATCGGGTAGAAAAACTATATGAATGAAAATTGAATCGTGCAGGTAAGTACAAAAAGATGATTCAGTGATAAAAGTCTATTAATTTTTATTAAGGACTATTTACATCAAAATTTGACCGTTAATCCAGAGTTCATGACTGCATATATGTACAAAAAAGGTGGTTAAGTTACCTAAACCATCATGAAACTGCCATGTAGGTTCGAGTCAATAGCAAACTACTGGGACACTTACAGCGTTATTGTTTTAGCAACGGGTGTAGAATGGAGGAACTTCTCGGCCGAACCTTTCGGCCAGCCTGTCATGTGTACCATATTAGTGTAACGTATAAAATTTGGCGCCGCGCACTAAATAGAATTTTCAAATCTTAACATCTAGGAAAGTAAACTCAATGATCCATAGCACCCACTTAGTGTTGACTAGTTGGCTTTCTTTTGCTCAATTCTTAATGCTATGGTACGTTTCCACGCCTTTGGTGATGACTAATGTATATGGTCTAGCTACTAAGTGCACCAGTTCTTGTGACTTTGACAATAATTCAGGGGTTAACAGGAGTTTTTTCATGGAGATCTAATCTTTTCTTGAAGTTTTTCATCTATAGCACTAATACTACTTGTTTGATGGCGAAATTGTAGCCAGTGACCATTCGATTGAAAAAGTGGTGTAGCGGTAAATAAATCCCAAAATAAATAGCTATGTAAGTTTTCGACATTGGATGCTGACCACATTGGTTTTGATGGACTCACCTAGCTGAAGGCGCTCGGTCATGCTTCCGCACCAAATCACGGGTGGGAACTCTGTGTTCAACAACCCCCTCAATCGCCAGCCGGATTAGATCAGACGATCCTCGGTATATTGATAGCTTATCAAATACATCTTCGAACCTCCTCGCTTCTCTCTTTTGATTTCACTTGATGGGTAAGCTTCATATTAGGTGTTACTTGTTAAAGCGTTGTCAAAATCTGAATACATGTGGCATCTTCAGTGGAATACCAACTTGATTTTGTTTAATCAGTTTCAGAGAGTTTTGTGGGAACATTAAATTTCTACTGATATCTGGTTAAGTCATATATTAACCCAGACCTTTATTACGTTATTTAACAGATCACTGAACTTTGATTACCGTCAATTGGTGGTGCGCTATTGATATGTTTACATGAGAGTGTCCATACAGCTCATAAGAAGTCACGTTGGTAAGATTCCACTTATTGCGTTCAGTCATGTCAATAGGTTCAGATTGTTTGGTTAGGGTCTGCATAATTATCATAACCAATGATTAGAGACTTTGTATGACATGGCTCAAAATCGTCCACAATAACGGAGATGCGTGTACTAATTGCATTCCTCTAAAGACCATGCTCCGAAATTTTCCTGTGCCCATTTTCTTTCCTGCACATATTTTTTCTACTGCCGATACTACTTGCACTTCTCTGGGAATCGTCTTCAAATAATTTCATCTGATCGAGTGAATATTACACGACATCTTAAACCGATGCGTATATTTGTCGATTTCCTAGTTGCACACAATGATAATATTACCGGAGGATTAAATTGCCTAGGTACTACGATCGGGTAATTCAGGCTGTGTATTAGACGTAGGTTAAGATATTAAAACATCGACTCATTTTAAGTGGACCACCTTCCTTTCTGAAGATAAGTAGCTTTTTGATGGTTTTACGGATTAATAGTTATAATAGTTATAAACACCATACATGCTCGCGTCCAAGTTGTGGTTTTGTAGAATTATGGTCTAGATCACTATTAGTCGTACCCTAGTAATAAACCTAATTCCATAATTGTAGATTTTTCTTGATGTGACTACCTAATCTATGAGATCTTAGGTGGAAGTCTCATCATTTTCTACACTGACTCGTCGTATCATGACAATTAATAATATGATACTTAGTACTTCTGAAGAACATGTTTAGGCTGAAGATATGATGACGTATTTAATGCGAATAAAGAAAGTTATGTAGAATGACCATGTCTGAGAGGCTGAGCCATACCATCCGACTGAATGAATTTTCCCGCGTCCCCTATTGTTGACCCTCTCTCCATGCTAAATGTTGGATATCTGTTCTGTTAGTTATCTCAGGTTCAGCTTTGAGGATTGTGTTGTTAGCACCAATACCACTACAGTTTGAGTTTTGGAGTACTATTATCAGATTGATCTAAACTTTTAGTTTTATATATATAAGAGGTTGAAAATTTCTGTTTCCCGCTTAGTGGCCGATCCTCACGGGGCCGTAAAAGTATTTTTGTCCCGATTAGACACACAGTGATTAGATGAGGTATTTTGTAGAAGATATGAAAAAGATAGGACAAAACTCTAACAGTTTCCCCAAGGTATCTATAGGCTCTACTATACGGCAGTAATAGGGTGATCTTATCCGCAACGCAACCATGTAAACTTAATGTACCGGTCATCTATGCGTTCAAGTAACCACAGATTTTGACATTTCATAATGTATTTTTAATTAAATAACTAGATTATATAGCTAATTTTGATCTTTTTCATATTTTTATTCGCCACGTTCGACTGCGTTACACTGCACGTCCATTGCATGCTGGGATGATATCTCAAGTCATAGTGAGTTTATTTACATAGTTGATTGTTTCCAGATAGACTGTCAGTGCGTGATTTTACTGTAGAAAGGTTTATTGTACTATAAACTATGTTTTTATGAACAACTGCCTGTTGTCTTCAGTCGGAAAGCAATATATATATTCTTTAAAGACAATTGTCTTCCGTTCGGTAAGTTCAATTGGCCTATATTTCGTGTTTTTGTTTTATCGTCTTAATTATGTCCATTTAACTACTTTAAGCAATATGCCTGTGCAAATGAAACAATAACTATGACACTTGCTTAGTTTAGTATTCTTGGTTGTCGTATAATTCAGTTTAGTTGAAAGAATTATGGTATAGTGCTTGAAGTCTGTAACGAAACAGATCAGTCTAGTAAGTAGAGTTACCTGTTTCTGATGAGTATACTGATTCAAAACAGTCTGACTAAAAATAGGAAAAAAGTGCTTTCGGTACTGTTGCTGTCATACATTATAAGATAGCGATAAGTATGTTTAGTGTTTATTTCTAGATTGTACATCTATCACTGACCATATTTCATGATCACTGTCATTAAACAATTTCCCCAGCAATAACATCGGCAGCAGGATAGCTAAGTGTGTGAGCTTTTATTTGCCCGCAGAAGAGCAGTATACAGTCTTAGAAGATGGCTGTTCTGTATCTCAATTAAATGCAGTTGGCTGTGGACAAATGTTAAGAATCTTTTTGGCAATTGGGACTTTTAGTTCTTTAAACACTAACTCTGCTTGTATGTCTCCCTGTTAAACTAGATGCAGATACATGGTAATACTTAAATGAGAGCAAAATAATAAAAGCATTGAGATACGGTATTAAGTCCATGTTATGCTTTGCACAATAAATAGCTGACCTGACCTAATATTCATGAACTAAAGGTAAATCACAACTGCATAAATTCTTTGCTAAAAAACATGTAATTTCTTTATTTATCTATTCCACATTTCTGACTAAATTCATTACTGTTTTCTCATTTAGAATGCAACAGGACTGAGTCTTCACAGATGTTAAGAACTGTTTCGCCCTTAGAACTATGGCCCTATGGATCTGTTTACGGGAGACCCAACTAACAGCAGATTATAAAAAGGATGCTGGATGTCCATTTTAATCTCACAACCACTTCCAGTACTTCTTGAGTTACTTCTTTTACCCTTTCGTTTGGAAAAAACAACAAAAACTGCAGCTTAACATTACAAATGCAACTTTTAGACTGGAACTTGGTTTAAACCGTTGTTTGATATTCGATTCCTAATGAAAGTTCTCGAATAAATTTTTGAACCTAATGCTACTTTGTTTTATCTACTTAATCGTTGCAAGAAACTTGTGATAATCGAGCCTCTCATCACCTAGTTCATGTGTTCAAATGGTCGTGGACTGAGTAGATGCTTTCGCTCAACAGGCTTCCGTGTCTAGTAGCAGGCGATTACCAAAACCTCCAGGTAGGAACCTAGATATATTAAAAATAAAAGAGTTAAAAGAAATTGGTAAATCATAATATGATTTTATCCTTAAGAATATATCTAGTTGCCTCTTAAAGGACTCCTGAGAAGTCGCATGGTCTAGCTCGGCGAGCAGCGAATTCCAGCATTTGACAACTCATAAGGAGTAGAAGTTGTGTCTGCAGTCCATTCTGCTATGTTGTGTCTCCAGTTTCTGGGTGTTACCCCTTAGGTTAGTGTTGATACTAAGTTTAAGTAGGTGTTCAAGAGGATGCCCAGAAGTGTTAAGGATACTGTAAGCCATTAGAAGGTCACCTCTAAGACGTCTTTACTTTAATGGGTAGAGGTTAAGTGATTGGAGGCGTTCTTCATAAGGTGATTTGGTGCATATCTTCATCATTCTCTTGGGAAACCTACAGACTCGGGTCCTTTCACAACTTATTCTAGCCACCATGAGTTGTCACGGCCGCTGATGGATGGACACGCGTTACACATCTTAACCGTCTCTGCGTCTAATCTCATGCCTCTACCGACACTAATGGAACACGAGTAACTCAAAGGCACCCTGTATGGTATCTTACATCGGTATACGCACTCACTTAGCTCTTTAGTGAGAATATTACTACAGTCCTGCTAAAAATCCCATAACCCCCCCTATCTCCATCAAAACAAATAAGTCTATATTTGCTGCATATAGCAATTTTATTTTTTTAAAGTAAGATACAACAGTTAGAATTGGAGTGAAATGGCAATATACAGCAGATGCACATGGTACATGTCTTCATCGATTAACTGAAATAGAAAATACGAATATTAGCTTAACAGGCTTATTTAGAAAAACTAGTGTCTACTCTGAAACTACTGCGTGAGAAAGTTATACTGGAACCACGAATAATGTAGGAATCCAGTCTCCCAGCGCGTACGAAGCAATCAAACTGGAAGGCAGTTGTCCAAAAATAATTCGAATATGAAGGTGAGAATTTCCAGGTATTTTTCATTGTAAGGGTGAAAATATTGATGTCGTACAGTAAAAAAACACAGATTTGCGAGTGGTGAAGTATGATCTATAAAAAAGTGAGCTTAATAACAGTTAATTACCTTTTTATTCCCTGATCATGACCCTTCGGCTTCCTTTTATGGCCGAAACAGCAAACATAAACTACACACTGATAGCAGATTTCCGGCTTTTCAATGTTAGTTTTCAGTCTTCAGTAATAAGGATAGTAGGTTAGTGAACCTGTATTAATCCTGACACATTGCTTTCCAGTGACGGTGC